GACTTCCATTTCAGGCCTCACCCTTACCCATTATCAATGCAGATCTTAGTCACCAAAGTGCCAAAAGGTAGTGCATTCCCCTTCGCATCACATCCCTTCTTCATTTCACTCAGAATCAATGAGGGAGATCGATGCTATCCCCTTTTCCAGTGCATAGAGCAAGCAAGCCATTTTAGGAAAAATCTCATTTTTCCTTCCTATGGGGGCTAGGTTAGACATCGCAATCAAATTTAGCATTTTGTACTTGTTGGTGAGCTCTCCTTGTTTCAAAAATTTCCTTCATCCCCATGAAAAGTCGACCCTCCCTGTCAATTCCTTCCCAACCCTATCCTTTCTTCACCTGAGGCACCTCTTTCCTTTCTTCCAAAATATACGCCTCATCTACATCAATGTGGGTGCCCCTCACGTATGTCTGGATGGCGCCGTTGATGATCTCAGCATTGGAGTAGAACTCCCTCACCAAGTCAACAACAGCATCCCCACCATTCCTCAAAAATCACACCCATTCCCTTTTCTCCATTTCCTCTAAAATTTCCAATTTCTCAAAGTCAGTAACAACAACATCTCTTTCACAGACTATAGCATGGTTTTGAAAGAAATTCTCATACCTTTCGGTTTTGAGTGCACTGGTAAACCTTGTCCAATCATATCTCTTCCTCCTTTGTCTCCCCTCTCTTTCCTCAATGACTTCCTCTACAAAGTTAGGTTCCTGGCTTATTGGTGGATTGCGCCTTGCAGGAAGCTTAACCCTAGGCATTGTGTTTTCTCGGTTTTGAGCTTGAGAGGGTGTGAAAAGCTTGATTTTTCTTGGGAAGATGATGATTTTGGATGTGGAAATGAGTTTGGGATGGTCGATTTTTGGTAGAATTAAGGAATGGGTGGAGTTTTGTGGGCTGGGGAGTGAAAAGGGGTTTTAGGTTTTAGAGGATTTTGGAGGTTTTAAACCGGGGAAGACGGTCCAAGCTTTTATAGTCTGAGGAAGAACGTTTAAATGTTCATGTCATTTGAACATTTGTAGAAGAATTTTAACAAAAACGTTCGAACGTTAAATATCGTTCGAACGTGGTGAGCTCCCAGTACTTTTGAGTTCTGTCAGAGACCAAAGTACTGTAAGTTTCTGTCGTTCGAATATGCTATTGGCGTTCAAACGTACTAATGGTGTTCGAACAGACCGAGCTCCCAGTACTTTTCGTTTTCATCAGAGACTTCTTCAGAGGCTGAGTACTGTATGCAAACGACGTTCGAACGTCACTTGGCGTTTGAACGTTGAATCAAACTCAAAAAACTTTTATGCATTACACTATACAATAAAAGATGACAAAACACACAAGTTTGAACCAAAAATTCATGGCATCTCAGGATAAGTCCCTACCCACGCTTCAGGTTGGTATTCTGGGACACTCCTTACTCGACCCATATTTTCATTTCAGTCAAAAGAGTTTGTACAAAATACAAAGATTTTTACACAAATTTGGACCCTCGGCTTTCATCCCCAACAAAAGTATATATTTTTCATAGTTTACGAAGAAGTCTAATTCGAGTCTTCATCTATCTCCATGCCTTTTGACCAACCAATAACTCTCCCAATTTTCTCTTTCACAAACCGGTTAAGCAGAGTACCGAAATAGGATGGGTCCTAGCAGGCTGCTATAACAAATGTGCAAAAAAAAAAAAAAGAATGGTCAAACAAAAAGGAAGAAAATGCAGAAACGTACAATGATAGTGGGCCCAAGGATTTTAAGGAAAATCAAATGGAGAAATAAAATCTTGGAACAAAAAAAAAGGTGAAATGCAGCACGTCATTTGTGAAAAAAAAATAAGTGAAGCTGGTGGTGGTAGAAAAGTATGGAAAATGGATAAGTTATTGATGGGGCCCACATTTTTTATTTAATGAGTGGAGGCTATAATATTAAAATGGTGGGATCTACCACTCTGGAAGTTCAAGTGTATTTTATTAAGCCTTGTTATGTAAATACTCATGAGATCTAAATAGGAGGGCCCACTACCTAGTAAAGTTCAAATGTATTTTCTTGTGGTGGGTCATCCAAGTGGATTTGTAATGGTACACTAAGGGATGCGGAGGCCTATTCCAAAATTGCACAAGAACAAAAATATACAAGACTTTGTGGCCATTGTGCATGAAAAGTCTATCAAAATAAGGTCCATGCATGCAGAGGACAACTAACCACGACAATATTTTTGGCAATAGAGAAGAGACAACAAAGGACTTGGGCCAATTTTACGAAAAAATTTTAGTTTTTTATCAGTGCTATGGTCGCCTCACAAACGATAGCTATAGTCAAACAATAAGTGCGGACAGAAAATAGTGTGCACGCACAGGACGCTTCCTGCAACTTGGCGCACGCAAGGGCAAATGTAGTACTCGAAAACTTTAAGACACGTGTCTCCACCATAATAGGACAAGTGGCAACAATTATTTGTTGACATGGAAATGGGGCATGACATAGTTCAGCTGCACTGGTATGAAATGGGGCGTGATACCCTCAAGCACAATACCGCGAGATACATCTCCATCACATTGGAAGTAGCAAAATGAATCTTTCACCAAAGTTGGAAAGAAGTGGAATCGCAGAAGTGTGGGGGAAACCTCAATGAGACTAGTCTCCCTCGCTGCGGGAATGGTATCCTCAACCTGTTGGATATCGTTGCTCGACTATCCCACTGGACTAAGAGGTGTCCCCACCTAAGGACGGGGAGGTATCACCCTTCTCAAGAGAGAATTGAGTAATAGAAGCGGATGAACATGATTGTCAACCTCAGCCTGGGGCAAGGTCTTGAAGGTTTAGTATGCTTGAGTAGACCTCCCAGTGTTTGGCTCACTGCCCACTTGGGTGTGCTTGATCGGGTTCCAGAGAGACTTTTAAGGTAACTGGGGTTATTGGTCCGAATTAACATATTGAATGATAGAACATGTGGATTGGTGGCTGAAAGACTAAAACTATGTGAGTTTCCTATATGTGACACCCTAAAAAAGGTCTCGAGGAAGGGTCTAGAGAGGGAAAGAAAGACCCAGGTAAGAACATGCTAGGGGCATCACAAATATGACCCCTCTCAAGGTCATGGTCCCACAGTTACTAGTCGCGATCATAGACCTTGGGAGCCCACTCTTGCCTTGGTTGTTGCACCTTCCTTAGGGTCACATGCAAGTTGCATTTGGGGTAACATCACATCTACTTAGTTAATGTTGGGACGCATGACTCGCGTTAACAGTCACTGGTATCATTGCAGTCGAAGCGGTTGTGGGATCGCACAGGTGATAGGGAATTGCGGTGGGTAGCCCGACCTGCCCAAGCACTGTGCCATAAATGCCCATATTACTTGTCTACTGCAGAGGATAATTTTCTAGCTGGCGAAAGTATTTTTCACCTACCCTCTATCCAACTGGTTCGTACCTTCGTTAACAGGTTGTTTGAGTTCCTTCTATCTCATCCACTTATCCAACTCACTCCGTTCGATTACCTTTGGCATAGACACATGTATTAACCTCTTTTAAATCCTCACCTATAATAGACATTACATTTATGGACAATTTTCGCGAGCAACAAAAATTTGTTTTTGTCTAAATTTGTCCATCAAACTATGTAATTTATTTTAATTGACTCTTTTCATTAAGATTAACGGATAACTGAGATAAATTGTGTTAAGGTTCGTTAATGAGAGAAATTATATTAAGAGTAACTGTTAATCTATCTCCTTTGATGGTTAATATTAGCGGAAGAGACCAATTGAAATAAATTATATAATTTAAGGGATAAACCGTGACGATGAAAAAGTTTATGGGAGAATTTAAAATAAAGATCATAATTTAGGGAACGTTTATGAGATTTGCTCTAAAAGAAACCCATCTCCAAGCAGAAACCGATCGAGTGATTCCACAGCTCTTGCTCTTTCTTTGCGTGTGTTTGTGCGTGAAAAAATGATGGGAAGATGCTCAATTTCATCGTCGTCGAATACGAATGAGGTTAACTTGTTCAAGAGCTTGACGGGTATCCAACAACTTGTAGAAACTCGTCAATTCAAGGTAAGCCTCCCTCAAAATTGGAACTAATTACGGATTTTGCCGAAGGCTTTCGATTTCTTAGCTCATTCTAGTCATGTTTTTGAACTTTAGTAAGTTCAAGTAGTTGAAGCTCATTGAATGATTAATTAACACACACACACACACACACATATATATATATATATATCTATATATATATATATATGCGCTAATACCATAGCTTCTGGAGTAACTTGGCATAATTTGCAAGTTATAATAATATTATTGGACCAAGTCAGGTCATATCATTACGTCAACAAATTAGATCATTTTCACTTTTACCAAAACAAGAAATCTCAATATAACAGTAACTACCAATTTTAAAAAATGTAACATTAACTACAATCCTTATAATATTAAGAAAGTATGTTAAATTTTTTAATTCCAATTTTTTTTTTTAAAAAAAAAATCTTATCAGCTTGGTCAAATTAATAAAGGAAAAGCTAGTACCCACTCTTGTGGACCGGGGCAGGGCCACCTTATGCCCAGGGTGGCACATGCCCCCCTCAAAATTTTTTTTCTAAAATTACTTATATATATTTTAGGTATTTTTTTAATATAATAAATTGTTCCAACCCTATTTTTTAATTAAGACGAAAATACATGATATATCCATGAGTTTACTTATAATTTTAACATTTATTTTAGTAATTATCACCGACATGATAAATAATATATTTTATTATGTAAATGAATGAATGATAAATAACTAAGTGATAATATGATTGTGTATATAAATAATAATAAAGTTAATACAAGACTTTCAACGTATAAAAATTTATCGAAATCAATTCTAAATAGTTTTGACTAGGCTTTGTTTGGTAAAAGGATATAATTAGCCTTTTTTTTGTCATTTGTATCTATTATGCTTAGCAATTTTAGTCTTTGAAGTTTAATGAACTTTTAAGAATTAAATAAGACATAATTAAATTAAACTTTTTAATTACAATTAAAATTATTTTTATCAATTACAAGAAAAAAATTATAATTAAAATTATTTTTATCAATTATAAGAAAAAATTAAATTTGTTAAAATATACAGTGCTCACCCTGAAAGAATTTTCTTGCTCCACGCCCCTGCTTGTGGACTAGTAGAAAAAATATTATTAACTTGGGTCAATCTGACGGTCTGAACCGGGACTATATCAGTTTGGATTATGGATTAGATCTCGACAGACTTTTAATCCTAAAAAACTTAATTCATCATCATGCATATCAATTTATACCATATGCCACTGGTCAATGATTTGAGTGTTATTTTTATTCGTAGCACTAAGCATTTTGGGCTTGGGCTTGGGCTTAGGCGAGTACGGGGGAAGCGGGGACGAGGATTAGAAATTAGGAATTAATTCATTGGGAGAACTCCTTATGCTTAGTTCTGATTACTAATAAATAATTATACTCCTACCACCAACACAAAATCCTTATGCTTTGTACTCACATATACCATGATGCTCACTTCTAGAATAAGCTTATTTGGCATCCATTTATGCAGTACCCCTTGGGCCTTTAACACCAATGCAACAAAAGACAAAATTCTAAGTTCATTCAGACATTCAGGTCACCAAAAATGAGAGAAATAGGCTATGCTATAAATTTAACAGGTATTTTTAATTTAAAACTTAAATCAATAAAAAATTATTTCTTAGGTACATTGCCCCTAAAGCCACTGCTTCCATTTTTCCAAAACTAAAGGAACCCAAAATTTCTTGCTGAAAAAATGTTAACATCCTTGTAAATAAGCTGCAATGACCAACACCCAAAGCTAGATTCTACAATCAACATGGAAGTTATTATCATGTTGGTCCATAATCAATCATTCTTCTGCGTAATATATTCTTCCTGGACTCGTACAAACAAAAATTGTATTAAATGTTAAAAAATATTATAATATAAAATATTCTAAAACAATTATAGTGCCCCTTACAATTAGATTTAACTGTAGCAAGTTGTTGGCATTGTGCAAAACAATCCTTTGCCTTTGCAAATAAATTAAAACCAAACAAAAATAAAAAATATGAATTGCAACCAAGGATCAAAATATCGTTTCAGTCACATAGGACACGGAAATGTTTTGATATGTTTCGGAAACGTTTCGACCCGTTTTGGAAATATAATAAAAAAAATAAAAAATTTAAAAATTATTTTTCTAAAACATTGATGAAAATATATCAAAGTATCTTGAAATACCTTGAAATATTCCAAAAATAATTGTACAAATGCATTGAAATATTATAATACATTTAACATTATGGAATATCTCGAAATATCATAATTTTGATTCCGTCACTGTTTCATTTTGGTCTTCTTAGAAACGGAAATATTTTGGATGTTTTGACCGTTTCAAAACGACATTTTGATCCTTGATTACAACGATGAAACACAAGCACATGACATGAACAATATTTTGGTTTGTTATGATCAAGCACACCACAACTATGACTAGTCCTTTGCTTAGTCTGCCGCTCTTCTTTTCCTTATTTGATCTTTTTTTAGCTTCCTTTTGTATGTACCTTTTGGGGAGCACGCACTATAACCTATAACCCGAGTGTTAAAATTTGTTGTCGAATCCTCGCCAACATTTATATTCGTTTCAGTTGTACACTGCTTGCCAGCTTCTTCCTCATTTATTGCACTAATACCTGCGAACTCTAACAAAATCATATGATCTCTGGAACAAAGCCTGCTTGTGTACATTTACTTGCTAAACAAGAGAGATCATTAAATCACATAGTGATACTTTTTTTTTTTGCAAATCAGTTCTGATTTCAACACCATGAGCATCATGCACCATCCCATCTTTTTCAGTACTAGTCCATCGTTTCAAAATGTAGTGCTTGGGAAACTTTGTCATGCAACCTAAAACAAAGAGAAAATACATGTTTCAAAGAATCCCTAGAAATTCCCATTTATGGCATGAACAAATTGTTTTTTCTTTAGATTTATCATATGGTTCTGACCAAATCTTACCTTGATGACCTTTGCCCTTGTAAACATCGTACACACTTACTCACCCATCCTTAGTAACCAAATCAATAACATGGACGGCACTTGCCCAATCTCTTCTTGGAATTCTTTATATACTTTTCACGTGTAAATTCCAGAAATTTCTTTCTCTATTTCAAAGCTAGTTCTTATATTAGGCTGCTCATTAATATCTTGTAATCTGGTTTATTTTCTTCTAGGCAACGACTCTCGACAGCCTTTTCCAATTGTTTCAAGAACTCACTTAATAACCAATGATCACAAATCCCATACATGTAGCATAGTCAATCGTAGGTTTTAAGTTCATACTACTCAAACAAGTTGCTCCATAAAGTCTCAAACGCCTCTATTGTGTCAGTTCTATGTAAACAGTCGTTAAAGTCTTTCTTAACAGGGGTGCTGCCTACATACCACTCCCAACTTTTCTGGGACCTTTTGCAATATATGCCACATGCATAACCTTTGATGTGCATGTGGGAAAACTTTAGCTATCGCGGGCTCCCATACCTTGGTCTTGATCAGTGATTATTGCTCTTGGAGTTTGTCAATTCATCGCCTTAAGCCAAGTCTTAAATAGCCATTCAAAAGACTCTTCAGTCTTAGCTGCTAATAGTGCACAACTGAATAAAATTGACTGCTTATGATGATTTACACCAGTGAAAAGAGTAAAAGGCATCAAGTACTTATTAGTTTTATCCGTGGTGTCAAAGACAACAATGTCCCCAAAATAGTAGTCAATTCTTGCGTGAGCATCCACCCAAAAGCAATTGCAAAGGTGTCCCTCTTCATCAATTTGAAAGTCAGAGTAAAAAGAAGAATTGTTTTTTTATTCATTCCAATGAAATAATTTATGAGAGATTGACCATCATTACCATATGTTTATGTCTTCATCAAATCCAATCCCTCTAATTCCACCCGCTTCATGTGAAAGAATACTCATAATATTTTTGGTGTGCCTAAACCAGATTCACTCCTCTTTTTAACTAATCGTTTAGCCCCCTCATATATGTGCTTTTGTGACCGAAGTAAATAAATTTTAGATATTGTCACAATCACATGGTTGTGTACCTCAATGAACTTTGTGACATAATAAGTATCAGATTCTTTCTTTTTCTGTACTTCCATTCTTGCTTGACAATCCACCCGAGTTATTGCTTGCTTTTGCTAATCACGCTTTTCATTGTCTCTCTTTAGAGCACAAGAAGTCTCGCCATATTACAATAGGTTCTTTCTCCGACAAACGTTGAGTACCTTTATGAACACTGAATCCACAAATCCTCGCATAAGCATTGTAAAAAGTAAATGCTTCTTTAATAGAATTGAATTCCTTCAAAAAAAATGGTTTTATGTCTTCAAGCACATAAGGCATGATTTCGATGCCTTCCATATTTGTCTCTAAACTATATTTTTGTAGCAACCTGTTGAAATTAAACTATGATACTGCTTAACAAATTGCCAGCAAATTGATTCAAAAGACCAGAACACAAGAAACATACACACTTACTTCAAAATGTAAATTTATAAATGGTATTACTTATACCAAACATAGACTGAAGTTCTCTGTTCTGGGGAATTATTCTTTCAACTGAAATTATATATTTATTTAGAACATTTATTTTTTTAATCCCCAAAAATCATTATCTATTTTTAATTAAACCATTGCAGCTGAGTTTTTGCTCTAATAACATGCCCAAGAAGAGGGACACAAATATATTTAAAATTTATCAAGTAACATCTACCATATCCACAAGACTAACGCAGAAAGATTTAAAAAAAAAATTCCCTGAACTAGTCCATTATGAAGATGGACAAATTTTATATATTTGGGAGAAACTTTATTTAGAATACCTTCAAATAGCATGGCAAAAGGGATCTAAGGGGATCTTCTTGCCGATTCAATTGAAGAAGAATCTAACTGTAATCAACCCTTGATGGAAGGCAAGGGTTCCAACAACTTCATTGTTGGAAAAAGAAGAGACACTGTCGGTTGTGCTCTGAGTGTGAAAGAGAATATGGATGAAGTTTAACTTTTTTAAGATTAAAAGGTTGCTTAAGATTGGATCCACCAGTCCACAAGAGTTCGTAGGTACGAACTGGTTTGAATTGACCTAACTAATAAGATTTTTTTTAAAAAAAATTGAACTTAAAAAATTAAACATACTTTCCTAATATTGTAAGGATTGTAGTTTAATGTTACATTGAGAAGTCCTTTTCGGTAAACAACTAACTTTGATAGGTTCTTGCATTTAATTTTGGTCATCTTTGGTTAGCAACCATTACATCATGATCTAACAGTTGACATTAAAAGTACCCACCAAAAGCTATGATGCATAGCTTCAATGAGCGCGCTATTATATATATATATATATATATATAATATTACATTGGAACGTACGTAGAATGAGCTTGTGGATTGTATAAGCTATAAACATTAGAAATTAGCTTGTACAAGATGGTGGATTATAAGTTTGCGACTAGTAGAATTTACATGATGGGTAACTGATGTTATGTAATTTTTTGTAAGCCATGAAGGCATGAAGTTCGTGTTCCCATATGTTTTGCCTCATATTTCTGGGGTGTTTTTCATAATAATTTAAGCAAAATAAATTATCACGATACTTTCTTGAAGTTTTTTAGTCATTTATAACAATGCCTTTGTGATGTCAAAACTCAGTTGGTGCCTTATGGATATGGTTGATGATGATCCATAGAGTGCTGGAGTTTTAAATGGAATGGGTACTCCTCAGTTCCCACATTTCTTTAAGAAATGGTGTTTGGCTATGAATCCCATTTTCGCATAAGATTTTTCTACAAGTATACCTATTAGAATGGAAATGGGTGTTTACTTTCCTTTAAAGCTTTTACTGTTTTGTTTGTTTTTCTTGGTTTTCTAATGCATATGCATTGATTTTGGCCACTCTTTTGACTTGTTAACCTGGTTTCTATTGTTGAATGGTTTTTCACGTTCCACTTTGTCAATGTTTGCCAGTAAACCCATAACATGAAGAAAGGAAGACTATAAAGAAGGCAGATGTGTTGTCTGCAAATGCAAAAGTGATTACAAATATATTTCATGCTATGTAATGTGTCTTTCTTTATCTTTGGGTCTTCAGTATGCCTAGCGTGCATCATGTGCACTTATGCATATCCATTCTCCCAGTTATCAAAAAATGTGAGCTAAAGGAATGTGACTTCTTTGGAACTCTTTATATTTGTTGTTTGCTTTCCTTGTTGGAAACAGACATGTTGAACCTTCCCAATCCCCGACGTGTTGGAAACCTCATCCACTGAACTGCCCTTTTTTTTCCCTTTGTCTATGGTGTTAGCATAATGAAACTTTAGGGCATCTCTTGGAATAGTAAAGGCCAGAATGACGTCAATTGTCTTTGTGTACCTTATTTAGAAATTTACGCCTAAATTTATGTCTATCTATATTTCAGGATTGACTCATTAGTTTGCTGATATGTGTGCAGGCATGGTTCTTAGATCAATTTGGAGTCCTTCACGATGGGAAACAACCGTACCCGGGTGCAATTTCAACATGTAGGTTTACATCCGTTTGCTTTTGCAAGTTGGTAAGCTTGATCTGTTGATCATGCTGTTCACTTCCCAAATTTGTAATATGATGGCACTAATGCTGTAGAAATTTCTTGTTGCGAAACAGTAGAAAAGCTGGCAACCAGTGGTGCCAAGATGGTGATTATTAGTAATTCCTCAAGACGCGCATCAACAACCATGGAAAAACTGAAGAGCCTTGGATTTGACCCCTCTCTCTTTGTGGGAGCCATCACTAGTGGAGAATTGACATATCAGCACCTTCAGAGGTTGGTCATCATACCGTTAGAAATTATTGGCAAAAATTAATATATATAGTCAGCTTGTAATTATATGTGCTACTGTTTTTTGCGAGCGAATCTCCCAACCAAAACAATATTAGTGCGAAAGGCTAGCTTTGTAGCTATTATATTTTTGTTAAAAAGTTTAATCCTGATGTGCTCAAGTAGGAAATTCATGTCGTTTTTGTTGAATTATATATTAGGAAAGATTTGATGAGGACATGCAAATAGTAGTTACAGTTGAATTGGTTGCATAGCTTTTTTATTTCATGGCAGATATTTGTTTGCCATTCATACATTTAAGTGCTTAGTAATCAGAGTCTACCCTGACTTGTGCTTAGTATCAGGCCCCTAAACTGTGGTGTACCATATGATTCTGATAAATTTGAGCTGCTCATATGTTATTATCTCTGATCTAGTGTATATAATGGTTGAATTCCTTCTTATAGACTCAGGAACATTCTTTCTTCTGGTTGATTGTATTATATTGGAATGATTTTACGTTTCATTTGACTACTCAAAAGAAAAATATTTACTCATTCAATATCTTTATATTCAATGGTTAGACTATTACTTACCAATGCCTGTTTCATGGTATTTGTCATGAACAGGAGAGAAGATGATTGGTTTGAAAAATTAGGAAGTTGTTGCATTCACATGACCTGGAATGACCGGGGTGCTGTATCACTGGAGGTATGCAAACATGAATAACGATATATAATGTCTCTAGAAATTATTGTCTCCTATTTACTGTGTCTGGATATCTACTAGTTTCTTTCCAAATTATCTCAAATTTTACGTTGTATTTTTTATCTTTCTGTAAAAGTCATATTTTCTTTATGTTATCCTTCAAGATAGGCAAAAGCCACAAGAGAACTCTGGGTTTTAAACTGCCGAATTTTAACAGAGAGAACTTTTTAATCCCATGGAATTCAACAATTATCCAATGTCTGTGTGAAGCATCTGATCATATCTTGGCATTCATTTCATTTATCGATTATTTGAAAACTCTTTTCATCCTACAATGATCCATCTACCGCTTCCTTTCTTCTTGCTTCATCAAACTGCCAGAAATTGTGCGGGTTTGTTCATATGGATTATAAGTCACTAGAGAGATAGAAAAGTATCTTTTAAGGTTTGATTGCATGAGTTGAAAAGCTTCCTGACCATGAAGAGTACCTCGGTGATTATTAAATAACCAAATGAGCACTGCACCGTACTGATGGTGGATTTGGAAATTGTTTTGAGTTCCTAATTGGTTAAATTTCTTGCTGTAGGGCCTAGGGTTACGAGTCGTGGAGTATGTTGAAGAAGCTGAGTTTGTTTTGGCCCATGGAACTGAAGCTTTGGGGCTTTCTTCTGGTGCTGCAGTTCCCATGAAACTTGAGGATCTTGAAAAAATATTAGAGCAATGCGCAGCTAAAAGAATCCCTATGGTGGTAGCTAATCCTGATTTTGTGACTGTTGAGGCTAGAGCGCTGCGTGTCATGCCGGTATTGAAGTTATTCAGACTGATGTTTAGCTTTATGAATTTCTTGATATGCACCTCTCCAGTGATTAAAAAAAGTTCCATGATTGAACTTATAGTCATATTGTGGTTATATGTTGCTCCAGTTGTTCGATTAATTACATCTTTTCAGTACTTAGATGTGAAAACTTTCAGCGCTTAATCTGTTAAGTGTGTTTGATTAGGCATAATGAGATACCACTTTAAAATTAGTTTTCTGAGAATGGATTTAAATTTAGACTTATCGCATGTCATTGGATATGTGAAGTGGAAGGCAGTTTTTCTTTTCTTTTTTTTTTTTTTCATTTGGATTTGAATAGGCATATTTATCTTGGATATCCATTCACCAACTTAAACACTTCATTCTTGCCCTTCTTCACCATCTCCCCTGTACATCCTCCTCCTGTCTCCTCTCTCTGTGTGGGTGCATGTGTGCTTGCTTGCATAAAGTCCTTGAACTTCTAATTATATGTAGCTGCACCGAACCATTAGAAGTAACCTATAGCCAAGGATCAAAATGTCGTGTCGACACGTCCGAAACGTCCGAAACGTTTCGGAATTTCAACACTCCGAAACGAAACAGTAGTTGAATCACAAAATTCCAGTGTTTCGGTCGAAACAGTACTGTTTCGGGCCGTTTCGGTCGAAACGGTACTGTTTCAGACCGTTTCGGTCGAAACGGCATTGTTTCGAACCGTTTCGACAAAACAGTGATATATTCAGTTCATTATGAATAATTACATTTAATACCCCATTATAATTACATTTAATACCCACTGTAATTACATTTAATACTCACTATAATTATATTTAATATCCCACTATAATTACATTTAATTCCTACTGCTCTTCTGTCTTTTATAATTTTTTTGTTATAAGAATAAATAATTACACTTAATACCCTACTATAATTATATTTAATACCCATTATAATTATATTTAATACATACTGTAATTATATTTAATACCTCATTGCTGTGCAAGTTTTTTGCTTTTTTTTTGTTATAAGTATTAACAACTACATTTAATATCCTAATGTAATTATATTTAATACCTACTGTAATTACATTTAATATCCACTGCAATTACATTTAATTTTTAAGTATACATAAGTATCATTAATTTAATTTGATACCCTTCATTATTAGTATTATAATAAAATAGTATTATTAATTGGATTATATTACTGTAATAATATGATTTGGAGTAACTATTGTCATCATATTTATGTCACATATGGAGTTTCTCTAAGTAGCTACCCAGAGCCTACACCGATGTATGAGCCTGCTCGACACTCCACAGGGGAATGGATGTAATCATGTAAGTATGTACTCATTAGCATTTCATGTGTATTATAAGACGTTAATATTATGTAAAAATGTGTTTATTTCATAAAAATTAAGTGTTTGAAACTAATTTAAGTGACTTTCGCCTCAAGTCAAGCCTTTTTTTTCCCTCAAATTTAAATTTATTCTTGTATAAATTGATGTTAACCTAATAAATATGTTGAATTAATAAATTATTTAGCATATCTTTATAAATTAATGGATTGCATTTGTGTTTCTATGCGTTTCCATATTTTTTCTGCGTTTCCATTGCGTTTCCGAAATGTTTCCGAAACGTTTCTATTTTTGAGTTGACCGAAACGGTACTTCGAAACGAAATTTTGATCCTTGCCTATAGCCCACATCAGAACCAAACTTACTATCATGGGATCATGGAAAGGGTCTTTGTCATGGAAAAGAGAATCTGTATGGTATTTAACGTAACGTGTGAGGTGAACAAAATGAATCATACTCCTCCATATTAGCATGTTAAATGGCGAATCCATAGTTTTAGTCTGAGATTTACATCTTTCTTGCTGTTTCCATCAGTGGCTGTCCTTGTCTTTAAGTTTTCCTTATTCTTAACATTTCTTGTCCTTATTGAAACCATAAAAATGATTTTTTGCTTATTTTATAAAATAAAGGGTAAAGCACCACTTCCTTTTTTTGAACATATTTAGTATCAAACTATCAATACATTTGGAGTTATGTGGCAACTCTCTCTTTTCCCAAATTAACAGCTTAAGCAATTTTTTAAGTACTCTTGCTTATTTGGTAGAGGAAAACTGGAATTATTTTCATTCAAAAATGATACAATTTTGAACGGAACTCATTGTTTTAATTATTTGTTTTCATAACTGTCGCATGTTCATTTTTGGATCTTTGCTTTCACAAGTTTCGCATTTACACCAGTACTAATTCGCAGCTTACGTACTGGTCCTTTTTTTAGGTACACTGGCAGCGACATATGAGAAACTGGGTGGTGAAGTAAAATGGATGGGCAAACCTGATAAGGTGACGAACCAGAGCAGTAAAATCCCCATCCCCCAAACAGAAAAAAATGGTTTCATATATGTTCTCTTTGCTCGGTTCCACAGATTTGCTTCATTCTGATGCACCTTCATGTGCACCCTTGATATATGAATGCAGGTTGCAGGGAACATTTAGGCAGATCCAGGAATTATACTTTAGTTTTCTGTTATGTATATATGTAAAAAGAAAATTTGTTGGAGTTATAGATCAATTGAAATGTTGTGGAGCATAGATACTTTGTTTAGGTCGAAGCATCCATATTGGATACGACACACGTGTTGGATACTCGAGAATATGTGTCCAATATCTAATAAAATAGTTCTTTATTTCTGGATGCGGCTTGGGCATGCACATCCAACATAAATACACCAATTCTCTCTCTACTTTTCATTGAAAAATCCATGTGGCTTGAATACATGTTTCTTAAGTATTATCTACTACCATATCTCAAAAAGACATATGGGCAACTATTGAATGTATTTCTTTGTGTGTGTGTTTTTGAGGGTATGAATGGGAGATTAGAACTATTTTGCAATGTAAATTTAGAGGGCCACAAATGTCATTTTGAACGCTTGTGGCAGTGCTGGCCCCTGCGTGACCCATCTTGCATCTGCCATTGGATTTCATGTGTACGTTATCTTTTGTTTGTTTTCATTGTATAGGTTGGCTTGTTTGCTATACATACCTGCAAAACTTAAAAAACACTATTGAGGGTTTTTCTAATTTAAAGACACATCCCGAAACCTGATAGTGTATCAAGTGGTCTACTAGTAATGGTTTCCTGTTTCTTTAGGTAGCACGATGCAGTCACATAAATCACACAACCATCTATCTGAAGTAACACAGTGAAATCAGCTAGTCCTGCTGCATTTCTGAATTTCTGATGCATGTGCTGCTGCATTACTTTGGAGTTTGGATAAATTCTTAGTCCACAGGCTTTCAAAGGTGCTAGATAATGCTCAAAGTCTTGTACCTGATTGCAATAATTTTCACCATGGTGTTATGTCTGTCTAACCATAAAAGCTTTTGAATGAATCAATTTAAATGGTTGTTATTATAAAACATGCACCATCTAGTTTTCCTTTTTAAGAAGAAAATATATAGGATTTGGATAAACTAATGCATCCCAAAAGTGTTGCTTTAATCCTGACTTCATCTATATCATGTATATTTGATGATATTCTCAAATTGGAACAATTTGGTGTCATTTCATTTGCTTCTTTACATTACTAATCAAAATTATATGGTAGATATTACCTATTTGAATTCAATTTTGGACTGACATTTGATGTTTGAACCCATGCAAAAATGGGAAAATGTAAATGGAGATGATGTGGGTGTCTTGGATGTATTATTCAAGGTTGTCTTTCATTCATTAAATATACTTCTTTGCATACATTACTGAGTGTCTTTACATGATTCAATGACTCAATCAGATCATATATAAATCAGCTATGGCGATGGTTGATGAGGAGGCTTCTGATTGTATAGCTGTGGGAGACTCTCTCCACCATGACATAAAGGGTGCTAATGCTGCTCAAATCTGCTCGGCGTTTATCACTGGTGGGATCCATGCAACTGAACTTGGTCTTGGTAAATTTGGAGAAGTTGCAGATCAATCTTCTGCTCATGCTCTTTCAAAGAAGTATGATGCTTATCCATCATACATATTGCCCTCATTCACATGGTAATCTCTATACAGGTAAGCATTCACTTCCCCTTGCACTGTCAACTGATGTTTTTTCGGAAGGTTGCACTATTAATTTTGTTGTAACTTGTAAATGATAATGGGGGTTTCAATGCATCACACACACACATTGCTCACATACACCCAACCCACAAATACATCACATACACAACACAACCCATAACACACATATACAATACAACCCACAACATATAGAGAACTTACATCGTGCACGCACACATACACCGAACACACATTGTATTTGCACTCATTTCTACACAAACCCCTCCGGTCCTCAGAGGGATTTGCAAACCTATGCTATTAGACGAAATGTCTGTCTCCAAAGGCAGTATGCTATGCTAAACAAAACAATCATCAATATTTAATCAAAGTTTTTTTGTTCTTTTAAAAAATTTGGACAATATTTTTCTTAAAAAGAGGACACCAAAAACATATCAACCTATATACAAAATTAATGTAGGTTACAATCACAACCCAAATCAAAAACATCTAAAAATATACTCTTCTAAGCATAAAATCAAATTTAGAATCATCTCATTATATATTCCTTTACATCTAAAATCAAACTCTACAAAGACTCATGTCTATATAACTCAAAAGCAAAAAATGGTAACATGTAATACCTTTCACAAAACCGTAGACACCCTTCCACCTAAGAAAGAAAAATAAAATTGTGAATAACCATACTAAGAATAATAATTAGTCCACCAGGTCACCAACTCAATTCAAAAATTATAATTTAAATTCAATATGGTTCCAATTCCTTTTTCAAGAAGTTCAATCTAAAGGAGTGAAAGAACCATAAAATTCAACTTGATGACCTAATGTGGAACATTATACAATGCACTACAAATTTAAGACATTCTAATCATACCAAAACAACATACAAAAAGCATAAGAAATCTGTTAAGAGTATTAGGATAGTATGTGTAAATTGTTAATAGTGTTAGAGTATTATGTGTAATTCTTATTATTGTGAGTTAACTATAAATACAAGTGATGTATAAGAGTTAGGTTAAGTTTTTAACCTCTCTTTATTTCTCTATAATCATTATCTCTAATATTATTGTTAATCCTCTAAACTTAACATGGTATCAGAGCAATACAATCATAAATATATATTCTAAATATATTAATTTTTTGTTCGAGGTGTACTGTGTTTATTGGAGTATTGTTGTGGTGTTTGTGTGTTGTGAAGCTTGGTCGGTCGTCGTCGTTTGTGTTGCGGTACTGTTGTGGTGTTGCTCGTCGTGGTGGTGTGGCTGTTGTGGTGGTTTGTCATTCATCGTTGGTCGTAGCTGTGGTCAGTGATAATTATTGTTGTGTGGTTCGTTGTTCGTTGTGTTGTACTGTCGTGATCTTGCCTGGTGGTGGTGGTTGTCGATTGGTGTGGTCGACGGTGTGCTGGTCATTGAGTTTTGGTGGTGGCTTCTGTTCTACTTCGGTGGTGCTTCGATGGTGTAGTTGGCGTTGGTGGCTGCCTGGTTGTTGAGTAGGCTTTCGTTCTGCCTGGCTTTGGTGTGTGCAGTCGAAGATCAATGTGCCATTGAAGACCAAGGTTTCACTGGGAACCCTAATCTCAACGAAGAAGAAGACTCCAACGGGTTGGGTCAGATTGGGTCAAGTCCAAGTCTAGTGGTCCAACCCATGGTCTGGTTCAGTCTGTATCACGGTCCAGAGCCCCTAGCCGGTCCAGTTTTGTCTTGCATAGGGTCCAGCTGATCTGGTTCAGTGGTTCAAGAAGTCAAACCGGCCCGGTTCAGTGATCCAACAAGTAAAACCGGTTTGGTTCAACAGTCCAGAGGGCTCAGCTAGGCCGGTTCAGTGGTCCAGCCTCCCTTTTCAGTCCGGTTCAGGACTCAAGTAGCCTTAACAGGCCCGGTTCAGTGGTCCAGGCCGGCTTTCCAGTCTGGTTCAGGGCTCCAGCAGCCTTAACAAGCTCGGTTCAGTGGCCTAGGCCGATTTTCCAGTCCGGTTCAGGACTCCAGCAGTCTTAACAGGCCTGGTTCAGTGGTTCAGACCGGTTTACCAGACTGGTTCAGTTTTCTAGCAGCGGTTCAGCATCCTCTTTTCTTTTGGTTCGGCATTGCAGCACTTCTTATTTGCTATTTGCTATTTGTTGCACTGTTATAGAACCCAAGCATGACACTGAATTGGTTACTATTACTCGAGAGGAGTATGCCCAGTTCCTATCCCAGCAACAAGCTGTTTCATCTCTCTCCACTGTTACTTTTGCCCAGTCAGGTATTGCTTCCACTTGTTTATTGTCCTCCAATCGCAATCGCTGGATCATAGACTCTGGCGCTTCTGATCACATGACTAGTGCGTCTGATATTTTTTCTACTTATCAGTCTGTTCCTTCCACTCGTAATGTTACTCTTGCTAATGACACTTGTTCTAAACTTTCAGGTTTGGGGACTACTAACTTTAGTCCTGATATGTCCCTATCTTCAGTATTATTTGTTCCTCAGTTTCCTTTTAGTTTACTTTCCATTAGCAAAATTATTCGTTCTCTCAATTGTTCTGTAATCTTTTATCCTTCTTATTGTGTCTTTCAGGATCTTAAGACGAAGAGGAAGATTGGTACGGGGCATGAAGCTAGTGGGCTATATTACTTTGATTTTGATTCACCTACTCGGGCTTTACAGACCTCATTGTCTCTTTTTCAGTGGCATTGTCGTCTTGGACATCCCTCTCTCCAGAATCTGAAGCGTCAGGTTCCCAGTCTTAATTCTGTGTCGTCTTTGTCTTGTGAAGCTTGTCAACTTAGTAAGAATCACCGTGTGTCATTTCAGTCTCGAGTCAATAATCGTGTGTCTGGTCCATTTGAGTTGATACATTCTGATGTATGGGGTCCAATAAAGAATATTTCATCTAATAAATATCTTTATTTTGTGTCATTTGTGGATGACTATTCTCGTGTCACTTGGTTGTTTCTAATGAAAGTTCGGTTTGAATTATTCTCTATATTTGAGACATTTCGTAAGGAAATAAAAACTCAGTATGGGTGTCGTATCTGTATTTTACGTTCTGATAATGCTCGAGAATATGAATCTGATCTTTTTTTAGCTTATCTTAGTAAAACTGACATTATTCATCAGATTTCTTGTTCTTACACCTCTCCACAAAATGGTGTTGCTGAATGCAAGAACCATCATTTGTTGGAAGTCACCCGTGCCTTGTTATTCCAGATGAATATTCTCCAATATTTTTAGAGTGATGTTGTTCTTACTGCTTATCATCTTATTAATCGTTTGTCATCCTCTGTGTTAAATGGGCGAAGTTCATATTCTGTCGTTTTTCCTGGTAAACCCCTACCTCCTAAAATCTTTGGATGTGTCTATTATGTTCATAATTTGGGTCTTAGGTTTGACAAACTTGACCCTCGAGTTATCAAACGTATATTTCTTAGTTATTCCCGCACGCAAAAGGGGTATCATTGTTACAGTCCTTCTCTGCACCGATACTTTACTAGTGCTGATGTCACGTTTGAAGAATCTGTTCCATACTTTCCAGCACCTTCTCAACCGTTGGATCTGGACTTTGGACCATCTCCTGTACCACCATCTCTTTCCTCATCTTCAGACATTCTGCTACCTACTGTGTTACCATCTACTTTACTTCTCTGTGTCTACTCTCGCCGTCCTCGCCCATCGACTGAGGTGCCCTTACTGTCTTCCTTGTCGCCTTCTGATCCTGGTAAATCAGGTAATTTAGACTCTTTACCTATTATTTTTCGCAAAGGTACTCGTTCGTGTGTTACTAATCATCCCATTTCTCATTTTGTTTCATATGATGTCTTGTCTCCTATCTTCTCCTATTTTACTTCTCAATTATCTGCTATATCTATTCCTAAGCATTTACAGGATGTCTTATCTGATCTGGGTTGGAGGAAAGCTATGGAGGAGGAATTTGATGCTTTACATCATAATGAGACTTGGGATCTCATTGGGTGTATACTGTTAAGTTTTATCCAGATAGTTCTGTGGAGCGTCTCAAAGTCCGACTTGTTGCAAAGGGCTTTACTCAAACTTATGGTGTTGATTATGAGGAGATTTTTTCTCCTGTTGCTAAAATTTCCTCTGTTCGTATCTTGATCTCTTTAGCTGTTAATCTTGATTGGTCCTTGTTTCAGTTAGACATCAAGAACGCCTTCCTACATGGTGATTTGGTTGAAGAGGTATACATGGAGCAGCCAACTGGGTTTACTGCTCAGGGGGAGTATGGTAAGAGTGTATGTCGGTTAAAAAAATCTTTGTATGGTTTGAAGCAGTCACCTAGGGCATGATTTGGTAAGTTTTCAGATGCAGTTTTAGAGTTTAGTCTTCTTCGATATCAGACAGATCATTTTGTGTTTGATAAGCAGACAGATGCTGGATATGTCCTATTGGTGGTCTATGTAGATGATATTGTGATTATTGGAAATGATTCTGAGGGGATTGACAAGTTAAAAATATTCTTACAGGATTGATTTCATACAAAGGATTTGGGAAAATTTAGGTATTTCTTGGGTATTGAGGTGACTCGATCTAAACAGGGTATTTGTTTATCACAGAGAAAATATGTACTTGACATGCTTGAGGAAGCAGGTTTGCTGGGTGGTAGACCGATTGATGTTCCTATGGATCCGAATCAAAAATTATTGATGGATGATGGTGCATTGTTTGAGAATCTGGGTCGGTATCGCAGATTGGTTGGAAAGCTTAATTATCTTACTATTACTCAACTGGATATTTCCTATGCAGTCAGTATAGTAAGTCAGTTCATGGGGTGTCCTAGAGTACCACATTGGGAGGCAGTTACTCGTATTCTGCGATATCTCAAACGAGCTCCTGGACTTGGACTGTTATATCGAGCTAATGGATATCTTAGAGTGGAAGGTTTCTCAGATGCTGATTGGGCTGACTCTCCTTCTGATCGGAGATCAACCACTGATTATTGTACTTTCTTAGGAGGTAATGTTATCTCATGGAAAAGTAAGAA